TATATCTGCTGCAGGTCCATAACCACGAAAACCTTGATCGATCACCTCCGGCGCCATGTACTGTAGTGTGCCGGTAAATGTCTCCGTCATGGGATTAATGCCRGCTAAACGTTTTGATGTGCCAAAATCTGATATTTTCACCACACCACTGTAGGTGTTCACCAATACATTGTCACCCTTGATATCGCGATGCACAATCTTCTGTTCGTGTAGATATTTGAGGCCTTCGAGTATTTGTTTCGAATAGAAAGCCATGGTGGACTCATTATCCTTGAGCGGACCCCATTTCTTTTCCAGCAAATCCGAGAGTGAACCGCCGGGCACTTGCTCCATGAAAATCTTAAAGAAGCCATCTTCTGATATGGAGCCCAAGTACTGAAAAATATTTTTATTAATAATTACTCTTTTTTTTTTAATGTATAACAATAAAATATGTAGCAATGAAGCACCTGCACGATGTTACGATGACGCAGCTGCGAATGYAGTTTGATTTCTTCGTGCAACGGTTGCACGTCCTGTGAGTTACGCTCTGGCACTTCTTTTATGGCAATGCGTACTTGAGTGTGTTTGTCACGTGCCGCGTAGACAGTTCCGTATGTGCCTTTTCCCAGTATTATTTTCCGATTTTGGTCATCATAATCGTATTCATACTAAAGAATAAGTAAACAAATCGATTTTCAGTTAGAAAAAGATTTAAGCGATAGAAGAAAATATAGTACACACCTCAATTTGCCGCACTTCATCGACGTCAAGATTAACAAACACCTCTTGATCTGAAGCCATTTCCAGTATGAGCTCATAAAATTTTTGACGACATTCCGTGGAGGGAAAATATATTTGGAAATCATCTGAGTTATGATGCACATAAAGATATGCACAACGATCATCCCGTTTATACAAGCTTACAGACTTAATTTGTGAAGCATTGAAGACGAAATCATGCACCTTTTTACAAGCATTCTTCGAGTGCGCTAAACAAATATTTATAATTTGTATTGATTTTTCATCAGCATCCATATTAATGTTGACATAACTTGGCATGTAAATTTTCTGTGGTTCCAAGATCTAAAGAAACACAAAAATAGATATTTTCATTAACCAGAAAAATCCGTTTAAAATCAAACTTACGAGTATCGGCATGCGTACGCTAGTGATCTCCTCTGTATTGGTAGCTACCATAAAAAAATCGATCCAAAATTGAAATATTTGCTCTTCTATGGAGTAAATATGATCCTCAGGTTTCTTACGRAAGCGATGTATCAACGATATATTACCAATTGTTGACTTGAGATACCAATTAGGTGGCTTCAATTTGAACATGCACTCTGCCGCCTGTATCGCTTTCGCGTAATCTTCTGCGAGCACGGAAATCTCAAAAAAGGTGGCCACATCCCAATATTCAGTCAGTGACGACAAGCTCCCCTTTTTACCAATGAGATTATTCAATGTTATACCAATATTTTGCAACTCCTCCGTATTGCTAAATTCTTTTCCATCAATTACTAACAAGGTAGCTAAGTTTATACCGGCATATTCATTCGGTTGTACCTCAAAACTTTGCCGATACCATTTTATGGCATTCTTCAAACTATCTTTATCCTCATAATCGGATTCAACAAATATATCTTTATAAATTCGTCCACATAGGCACAGCATATCAGGGAACTCGTTCTCTTTTTTCTCTAATGCCCTTAGCGATGATGCTAACGCTTTCTCGCGATCACCTTTGCGATTACGACGATTCAAAGCGAACGCATAAAGAAAACTCATATTTCCTGTCTCAACATATTTTCGTGTGTTTGGTATGTTTCGTAGATCGCTCACCAAGCGCACCATTGCATCGTAATCTTGTACATCGCGTAGTGAACACATAAAACTGTGTACCACTTCACCGGATAGAACATGTACATCATCCAAACGCTTACGCATGTCATGGAGAAATTTTTGCAATTTCGGTGCATTCGCTCCGTAAGCTTCACGCGCTGAACGCAAATCGGATAGAAATTTTTCACGCATATGCGCCCTTTTGAAAGGAGATAGAAGGAGAATATTAAAATATTATTATTAMTTGTAACTAAAACTAAAATACTTGGATTGAATTTCTACATCCTGCAAAAGACGCTTCAAACGCGACAGTAGTGTTGGCATTTTAGTATCCGCTGGCAGTTCCTTGTTGAAGTTGGTTAAAAAACAGGTGGAAGTCTCTTCGTTTCGTTTGTACGATAGAAATTGATAATTGGCACATGAAAGCTGAAAAACGCGAACATTAAGAGCTTAAAAAAWATATATATAATACATATTTTATATAAAATAAATTTAGCTTCTTTCGATAAATTTCCATATATCACTACAATCGATAACAATATAAACAGCGGAAGTGGCTTCACGCTATCCAATTAGCATAAAAGCCAACGAACCACAACCAGTATGAAATAATTAAAAATGTATATATACGAGATTAACAATATTAACAATTCGGGCTAGAAGTCCAGCAACCGGTAAAAAAAAAAATGAAGAAATAAAGTGAAAAGGCAGTAACCACATTTTCGTATAAATTTATAAAGTAAACAAACGCGGAAGAAACAACAAAACAAAAATGCAAGCAAAACAAACTGTTCACGCACACACATATGCAATCAACAGTACACAAAACAAAAAGTTAACGCCGACGTCGCAAGAGCCCGAATTRCGTGAACAACAACAAAATTCGAGCAAAGATAACAAAAACAAAGCATAAAGCGGCTAGTACAACATTTAAATTAATTTATTTAGTGGTGTGGATTTATTATTAGGTTCAACAAAAACATTGAAAACTTTTGTAGGAAAATGAATACGGCAGCTAAAGTAGCAACAATAAAAGCAATTATATACGATTACAAATGTGGCAAATATTACACAATTGTTGTGGTTTCACGTGTGATTTTTTATTGCACTTTTTATTTTCATTTGCTTGTATACACTAACTGGTTAGATAAGCCGAATATGTAGGCGGTTTGTTATGATGGTGGGGGATGTGGAGGAATAGTATTGCATACCAATCAAAAGGTGGAATGTGAATGCTTTTCGTTTCAGCCATAAAACGGAAGTTTATTATAATATGTTGATATATGTATCGATTGAAAATAGTTGTCTTTTATATTAACGTTAAAGTCATTGGCAGCAGATCCTGCGACTGCCTAATTTGTGAGACCATATGGACACTTTATTAACGCAAAAGAAAATCTAACAAATTTATATTTTATTAAGTACATATAGCATACAAACATATGAATGTCATATCCTTATTTAATAAATGCATCAAATTATGGATGAAGTTCATCAGACATGATTAGATGTCCGTTGTTCGATTTTTAAAATGTAGATTAAACGTACATATATCGCTAGCGAAGTAATGAAAGCACTTATGTTGTTGTTGTTGTAACGGCAGAAAGCACTTATCTTAATCCAAGGTCTTTGTTAGTAACAAGCGCAAGAGCGCGATTTTTATTTATATTATTTCGGGTATTAAGCTCACCTTAAGGCACAATGTTTGCTTGGAYTGCATATCATTGTATACGATTATATTCCCTTTCATACCGAAACTTTCACGTACGCCCAGATGATAGGAAAGTGAACGCTGTTGYACCAATATACTCAAATCAATTATGGCCACATCTGCATTGTAGAAAGTTTCTAGCATATTCGTTTCGCCAAAATCGAGTTTATCAAACTACAGTTAAGAAAAATTGGCATAAATTACTGTCTATTAGGCATGGTAAAATATAGTATGTGTGTGTAAACAGTACCAGCACGCGTTGAAAATTTGCGCCCACTGCTTGAATAGCTTGCTTCATTTCYTCCAGCGCGCATTTTCTGTCTTCTAGATATTCTGTTATTTGCGTATCAATCACTACAGCAACATCCATTTTGTAATACTTTTTTTTATTTCCAGTCGGCGGTCAACATAACACCCAYGCAAATCTACAACTGTGCGTTACTAAGATTTCATATATATATTTATAATTTTATTGCAGTTTTTTGCTTTATAAAATAACTTTTGCGTTTATCACCTTTGAATGTTAAAGGTGCAGGCCTGACGGTATTTCTGCCGATATAACAGTTACTGCTAATAYACGTTAGCACTTTACAACAACAAAACCAATGACCAAAATTTTTTAGATACCGGGTGGGGTGCGGGAGCAGCCTCCTTTAGTTACAATTGTAGCGGCAGCTCTTCGCCATCGGAATTCGCGTGTTCATTTAATTGGCGTTGGGGTTAAAACTGATTTGCACTTTGATTTACTGTACATGAAYACTTGTTATGTTTCTCAACTTTACAATTACAAATAAACACTACAATATGAACAATATATTGAAATTTTTCACAACCTGACAACAAATAGATAAATTGACGAACAAATAATAAGAAACTAGCACTGTTGATCGCAATTTGCAAATTGGATTTTTTCGTGCTTCTGGCACAACTTTGAAATGTCAATTGGCAGTGTTCACAGCCTTGCCATTCGCAACAATGTCGATAACTTTAATAAATTTATCGCTGAGATATATCTAAATTCACGTTATAATAAACACACATAATTTATAGATTTAATAAGTGTTTTCAATAAAAGAGAAAAAAGCAAGAGTGGAGAAATATTAACTGACTTATATTCGAAGAAATTTTATTTGGAAAATGCAAAAATTATACATCTGGTARAACAAACCATTTGCATCAGAGCTGCCAAGTCTATGCAATCTATAAAATATTCAAAGCTATAAAAAATATAAGAAAACAACTACACAATCAGATATTATCTAAGAGATAAGCTTCTTCAAAGAAGCAGTATAGTAAGATGAGCAAACATTAGTTTGCTGAACATTTCTTTCCTAGCCATTTAAAACCCAATTAGACTTAAAAGGCTTGAAATAGCACACTGACTGGCAGCTCTGTCAACACTCTATGTGATACAGGCACTCAAAAAACGCCATTCAAAAATAAATGAGCGGTGTACAGTGAGTGAGTGAGCTTCGTATAAAAACAGAAACATAAGCGGATAGAGAAGCGGACGTAGCACAACCGATTGAAAACGTAACGGCAGCAGCAAAGCAGAGTGTTTCAAGTAGCAAAGATTAGTGCAGAAGAAAAAGTGAAGATTTTTCTCAAAGTTAAATTAAAAAGTGATAAGTTTATGAAAATTTCAAATACTAGTGCGATACATAACCACAAAATATTGCCTAGTAAGGCAGTGGCCAAAGGGGAAGAGTGTTAAATCAGTGCTTGTCAAAGTGAAAGATACCTACAGTGAAAAGTAAAAAAGGTCAAAGGAATCAGCTAAGTAAAAGTATAATACAAAAGTGCAAAAATGGGATTGAACGGCTGTTGTTCGTGTGTAAAATACTTGATGGTGCTGATAAACATCTTATTTTGGGTATGTACTAAGTAAAGATAACTCTATGAATATTGAGTGGGTGGTGTTATGCATAATATTACGGCAATGGGTTGTGCGGTAGATTTACGAATATCCTACTGAATGAGAGTGAATGCGTATGATATATGTGGTTGTGCAAGTGTGTGTGCCTATCTATAGGATACGCGTGATGCTCTTCGAATAATTCGAAAATCGGTCTATAGAGAGCCTAGACAAAGGAGAGAGGAGTACTAAACAACCAGAATGTAGCATATGCACAAATTTGTTTATATACATACATATACATATGTATGTATGTACATATKTAAATATGGAAAAGCATTCATAAATTCTGTTATGTCCCCTTTTGATTATGTCAAAATGTTAATGCTAATCTATCTACATACATTCATTCTATACATACATATATGTATATGTATGTATTGAACTTTCATTCAGGGCGTTTTTTTTTTGCACGTCTGTCGAAATTGTCGATATTTTGATATAAAAGTCATTCTTTCATATTTTGTATTGCCAATTTGCCAACGTTTTCTCTTACTGCATTGTAGCCAGCTATTTTTCCACTATTTTTCAGTTGACACAATTGTCCTCTTTYATAGTCATATACTTCCTTGCGGCGAGTTGTAATTCTCGATACGGTATTTTTACCAGCCTGTAGGTGTTATAGACGCCCTGCGTTGGGGTTCGTCCTAAATTGACTATGCGTCGCAATCACAGCTTGTAGCACGCTTAAGTGCACACACATGCGGATTCACATAAATTCATACATATGTATGTACATAAGTACTTTCGAATGTGTGCAATGGCTCACAACGCAAGCCTGCACAAAGTGTCATTGCTTCCGTTGCATTGCCGCTTTCTTACGTTCATAACACACATGTACACATTGCCATTTGATAGGTATACACCAACATACATATGTATGTATATTTGTGTATACATACAGACGTGCAGCATTTGTTGTTGTTGAAACTGAAAAATACTTGTTTCTTGATAGTACTACAAGTGAACGTTAGCTCCCCCGCACTGCAGCCGGAGTTTGATTGTTGTTGACGTTGTGGTTGTTTGCCACACCAGCCGCAATGAGTGACATCCTCATATACATACTATATGCGCGTGGGTATGTGCGTGCTTATGTATGGATATTGTATTTTCTTGTTGTGCTTTTCATTATCTTTTTGTRTTTTATTGACTATAAACATTTCTTATCTTACGTACAACGAATATTGAAGAATTTGACGCTGCTTCTCGTATTTATGTACATATGTATGTTTTTTTTTACTTATTACATTTTGATTTTCATCACCTTCGGTTTTGTTTATCTATATTGCAATGCAAAATGGAATTTGTTTAGTGCAAAACCCCTTGTCTTTTGAAAGTTTGTAGTATGTATGCATGTACATTTGTGTCCTCTCTCGCTTGCTATTTTGTCAGCACAATAGAAAGAGAAAAKACAACAGGCAAATCTAGGCAATGTATTGTATACGGAAACCATCATTCAATTAAAAGTGCTATAATTGGAACAGGAAGTTAAAAGTTAAGACTTTGAATAATTGCAACAAAAAGGATTTTTTTAATAGAGTTGTAAATGAATGTTGTTGTTGTTGTAGCGGCAGAAAACATTCCTAAAATAAATTCGAGTTCAGATTAGCAAACGTCACTTTTTTTTTTAATTGATGGACAATATCTCTATAAAATAAAATATTTACCAAAGCTAAATATTATTACATTCAAATATATATTTACATATGCAATATACTCAAATATCGCTGTTGATCTAATGAAACATTTCGTAATAGTTCCTTTGTAAATCAGCTAAGAATGCCACTTGTATCSACAAAAAAACTTCAAAAATGCCAGACTATATTTACCAGGCTGTGCGCTTTAGTTCCGTCTGCCTTTAACCACAATTCGAAAACCCAAATGTCGGTCATCGGTGGCAAATATTCGAAGGCATAAAATCAAAAGCTATGCCGCGCGTCCGTAATTATTTTCCTTTAAACAATATAGTGCACGCCTTTCGTAAACCAAAAAAAAAATCACCTTTCATATAAACAGTTGCTTACACAAACATACACACATCCGCATATGTATGCATAGTTCGTGGTTTATAATAAACAAGTACAGCAATCTGAGGAGCAGTCATCAGTATGCAGGGCCTTCCTACAGGGCAGCAATCAATTGGGATRCAACGCTGATCTGCGCGGGCTTTTTAGAGGCGTGCAGTGGTGGGAGAAAAATAAGCATTCTTATAAAGTATTATAAGAAATTAAAATTTTACACAAATAAATGTAGTAATGCTATTTAAAAAAAATTTAAGAAAAATAACCGAAACGGACCAGCAATTTTATATGGTCATTCTTTGAATTTACTTCAGAAATATTTTCTGCCGCTACAACAACAACGACCACTATAGCATATAGCTATTACAGAAACGGACCGTTCGAAATAAAGTTCTTATTTAGAAAAGGTTTCCATTTCACAAGATATCTTCACTAAATCTCAATTTTAGGTCTATAATTTCACACAGTGCTGTATAATATAATATATAATAATACAAAAACATTTTTACATATGCTATGACATTTTACATACATACATACATATGTATGCATGGATTTACATATGTATATGGGCGTATTCAGTATTCACATTGTGGCATCCACGCAAAACGCAAGTTGCCCCAGACGTTCAGCCTTAAGCAACCGTAAAGCCTTTAGTAGCTGGTGGAGCCACCTATGCGGCATGCCGCAAACAATACAAATGTAATCTGTTCAAAACATACAAAACCACACGTGAGCAAACAATTGTGCGAGCCTACTTTTGRCCACACACATATCTACTTGGGCGCAGACACATTTGGTAATTGCCTACGCTTCGCTGGGCATCCCAGCAGTAGCGCTGCGTTCATTTGTAACTGTCGGAAGGCATTTCAAGYGCCAGTCAGCTGGTAGTGATGGCAACTGACCAGCGCCACTGGCTGCAGTATCTACAATACATATGAATGTATATGGTATGTATAGATGTAAACTTCTGTTTGTTTATATTTACATATGTATATACATATATACGTATTTCAATATTACTATATGCGGCTTTTTATTATGTCACTCTTATAAGTCCCTGAGCATATGTGCTGTCCTCCCTTTGACTTACCGCGCCCATTTCACACATCATCACACACTCAATTATGAAAATTACTGTTGCGACTGTGTGTGTGTGTATGTGCATCTCTCATTTAGTCATACGGATATTTACAAGCATACACTCAATCATAGCAGCATCTATGAAATCATTTGTATAAATTTTCCAATTTTATTTTCTTAATTCATTCGAAGAGTCGTGCTTCTAGGTTCCTGCCCATACAATTCATCTCCTCACAAGTGTGCTCTGACGCGCGCGCGATTGCCTTCCATAGGCGAATACTAGCCAGAAATATATGTACGTGCAAACATACATATGCATAATATATATTTATTAGTCAAGATCTATTTTCGAGTATCAATACAATATAGAAGCTTTGTTTTTYCTGTTGTGTGTATGTGTGTGCACGTTCTTCACACATATGATTGTATGTGTGTACATATGTACGWATGTCGATTTGCTTTTATTGTTGCATTAGTTGCGCATTCATATCGCATCATAGCGTTTGAAGAAGATCTCTTATACATGTACATATATACATATGTATATACAAATGTACTATATAGCATATTTGCCAATTATTTCTGGTTGCGGTACAAATTTGTGTTTCAACACGCACAAACACACACACACATTCATACATATGTATGCATGCCAACTAAAGTTTATAACAGAGGAAGCACTTATTTAAATATAAAAATAAAAACAAGAAATACCAAAAATATCAAAAAACACACATACACATATAACCGATACACGACCAGCTGTTGGAAACGCACAAGCATATTAAATAATTAAGTTTTCATTTGTAATAACGTTTTTCAGTAAATTTTGACGACATGCATATGTGTTTATATGTACATGCATATGTGTGTTGTGTTCTACAATAAACCTACAATGTCATTGGCACATACAAGTTTGTTTTGATTATGTAAGCGGTTCTTAAACATTTCTATTGCACTGCGATTGAAAGCCTTTTATGTGGCAGTTGGAAACCATTTTCTAATAAAGCTATCTTATTTACGACTTTTTTCTTCTTGATAATTTTGTGGTTCTTTAGGTTATCGTACTTAAGAGACACATTTAGTGTGAAATTAAAAAAAAAACGGTTTTTTCTAAATATGTCGATAAAAGCATTTTCTCAAAACTTCATTAAACGGAAAAATAAAATAATTTACGCGCGATCTTAGGTCGTGAAAGTAAGGGAAGGTAGAACAAATAAAGATAAGAACATGAGTTCACACCAAAATTCGTGAAAGGAAAAATTTAAACAAGATAAAAATGCAAAACCCGAGTTAGTGAATTTTTCACATAAGTTTTGAGGTTGTGTGAAAAAGTTTTTATATAAAAGTTATAGGATAGAACTAGGGTTAGTAGTTTTCCGGAAGAGGGGACAAGCCATTCTTAACCCTTAAAAATTCCCTCCCGTTATTTTTTTATTTTATAAATTATTTTCCCTTATACATAGTTTATTATTTTGTCTTTCCTTTTTTAACGGGTTTCATCTAACTATGATTTTTTGGTTTCAAAATTTTTCAGCATGTAATTTCACCCAGGGCGGGTTATGCAATTCTATGTTGAATTGTACGCTAATAATATTTACTGTCTAATTAAGAAAGCAAACAAGCGGATGCCTTTCAAGAATACCCGCCTCACTCAACGACTTTTCGGCCATTTTACATCCTTGGCGAACGTTCCAAGTCTCTTCAGTTACATATATTAATATAAAATACTTTATATACATACACATATAATAATATATGAATGTAACATATCTATGCATACATACATATATATAAGCATATATAAAATTGAATATTTATGTGTTAGTATACTTTTCGCCGTACTCTAACTGC